AAATTGAAACTTTCGCCGTTGCGCCATGTATGTTCTCATTTGTTGGCATCTGGTAACGTGATCCTTTTGTTTTCTCCAGATAATAAGTGCATTTGGCTTGTATATCTGGTGCGCTGGTGCTGATCCTGCTGATCCAGGAGTTTTTAAATCCAAGAAGTATATTAAGAAGCTACACAACAAAAAGCAAGTTCAACTTAAAGAATCTAAATTAGGGTGTGAGACGAATTCGTCTATACAGGACGCTAATGCTGCTTCAATTGGAGAAAATGCATCTGTAAAAAGCAATAAAGGAGCTGAACCAGCTGCAGATCACAATGCAACTCAAAAGAAAATTGCAGCTACTCATCGAAGAGGCTTGTTGGCGCTACTACCATGTGCTCTTATCTGCAACTGCACAGGTAGACATGAAGAATCTTCTCAGCAACAGTTGAGTGAAGATGGCATGTTCTACTGCAGTTTGTGCGAAGTAGAGGTGCGTAACATCACATCCATTACTTTTCTAATGCTTCGACTTGAAGCACTATTATTTTCTGAAGGGAGAATACATTTGCAAAAATGGTTTAAATGTAATACAAGATCAAATTCCCGTAAAACAAGAATACAATTCCTAACAACAGAAGCACCTACAAGTTATTTTTTTGGGTCACAGAATTGCCTGTAATTATGAAGTCGAAACATTTTTGTTAAAATTAGCAGGTGTAAAACTGATTTTGTTTAAAACGGATATGCTTAGCTTGATATAGCTGTTCCTATTTTAGATAGATTGCTGGAATATATGTTCACAAGTTATAACTCAATGCTGGATGACACTTGCAGGTATTTAAATACAGCAAGCATTGTAGAGTATGCGACAAGTGCGTAGATCAGTTTGATCATCATTGCAGGGTATTTGACAAACTTGAGTGGTCTGAAACATATTACATCTTGCGTAGATGCTTGTCCGTGTCTACATATATGTAAAAACCTCCTAATTGTTTTTCTCTTTGGATTCTGTAGTGGCTGAACAACTGCATAGGTAAAAGGAACTATCGCAAGTTCTTTACGCTCATGGTTTCTGCGCTCCTCCTGGTATGATCAAGCACTCTTTGCTAGCTTTAAGCGCGCTTACACACAGTTCTAAAGAATTCTAAATTAGGTGATGAGTCTCACAGGCTAGTAAATTATTGTCTTCTATCTGAAGGTGTATCCGCTTCCTCTAAATTTAAATAGCATCTTCGGTTTTAAATCAGTCCTTTCTTCCTTTATCTCTCCTTCCCTCGACCTTCCTCGCCCCCTTTCTCCTTTACTTCTTTTTCGTTATGTGGGAGGGAGGATGGTTGGTTATTTGCATACCCGTTTTGACCCGCTTGCAAACTGTCATAGAAAAACCTCTCATGTTGGGTCCAAGATTCTTTTTCTATTCCCTTGTTTCCTGAAGAAAACTTGCCCACAGTCGGAGTCACCCCAGACATTAAACATTTCATATTTGTGCATTTTCCATTTAATTGACTATTGACAGGTCTATACATGGTTTGTGCGCTTTGGACTTGAGATTGCAGCTTATACTTCAGTGGTCAACTGGAATTTTTGTACTGATCTACTGCTTCATCGAGAAGAAGAAATTTTCTGCGGAAATCACCTCCAAATTGGGAAGCAGTTTCTCCCTCGTTCCCTTTGTTATTGTGGTGGTGAGTATACATTCTTACATTTTGCCTTTATGTGAGGACCCCATATTCCTTCATGCCATTTTTATAGTTTTATTTTGGGAAAGGGAGTAGTAAGCAGAAAAAGAAGTAACTGTTCATACCAATATTGAGTTGCGTTAGAAATAAAAATTGGGTGTTGAAGTGTTTGACCATCTTATCCAAAAGTTTAAGCTGTTAGAGAGAGCACACTTTTATTAGTTTAATTATGTCTTCAACAGTTCAACATGCCTCCTTACATGTGGACCTGATTCTATTTCATGAGCCAAGCACGTGCAAATTCTTTGTGGTAATAGGTGGCAGTGGCTGGTGAGACTTGAAACCAGAACGCCTGTCTGCTCTAATACAATATTAAATTGTGTGATCATATCATCTGAAAGTTTATGTTATCAGGAGAGCGCACTTTTTATTTGCTTAATTATGTCTTCAACATTAGGAATCCACACAAGTTAATTTTTTGTTTTTATCTGTAAAAGAAAACATTTTTGTCTTTGTATAATTTTATCTCTCAAATGTGTCTGATGTTTGTTATACATGTACCAGGCAGTCTGTACCATACTGGCGATGATAGCAACCCTCCCACTTGCTCAACTTTTCTTCTTTCACATACTTCTCATAAAGAAGGTTAGCATTTCGTCATCTGGTGGTCCTATCATATGGCTTCTTTTATCAGCTGACAGTATGTTTGCTTTGTCAACAGGGAATTAGCACCTATGACTACATCATTGCTCTCAGAGATCAAGAACAACAAGGAGTTGCAGGTCAGCAAAGTCCTCAAATGTCAACTGTCAGCTCCTTGACTGGATTAAGCAGTGCAAGCTCCTTCAATACTTTCCATCGAGCAGCATGGTGCACACCGCCTCGCCTTTTTGTTGAGGATCAGGTATGGTTTAACTAGGAATCAATTAGTAATTTCTGGAATTTAGTAGCACTAAATGGTCATGGTGTTAGCAGCACTTTATCGAGTTTTTGGTGCTTATTCATGATTTTCTTCTAGTTAAATCAAGATTTGAATGTAGTTCCTACTTTCAACCTTCTTAGCTTCAATTCCACTGAACCCGGAAGTGTGGTCAATGCTTTGCTTGCTTCCGAAGAGGAGTTGTTCAAAGTGGACTCCTTAGAGCTAGTATGTTCAATCTTGAGCTTGATAGATTTTGACTCTAGTGTTGTCAAAATTACTATGGCTTTCTAGAAAAAATAGAACCTTTTGCTATCAGCATCAGCATGGAGTTCTTGCTAAGTTATTTTCATGAGGATAGTAATCCACTTTGACCGATAGCAAATCTTGAACAGTTTTGGGCGTGGCTGCGTGGTTGTTACAATGGTTAAGGGATTGTCTAGTTTGTGAAATAAAATGTAGGACTTCATATGGTCTGATTATAGTTGAGATGGACAGTGTTTGCTTAACGCTTTTATATGAATAAAAGATGTTAATTCTCATTTAATTTTTGTGGTTCCCTGCAGTATGACGTGGTTGCTCCTGACACTGTATCGGTCAGTTCACTTGGTAAAAGGTCAACGGCAGAAGAACCAATCAAGAAAAGGAATCCAGCTGCTGTGAAGATCAGTCCATGGACGCTGGCACGATTGAATGCAGAGGATGTTTCAAAAGCTGCTGCTGAAGCGAGGAAGAAATCCAAAATTCTCCAGCCAGTGGTGAGAAACAAAGAACCTTACACCCTTGAAACAAATAGCAGTTTAGGAAGTAGTGGTCGTCGCATGTTGCCTAGGCCTGATAACAATAGAAGGAGAGCTAGTAAACGTGTTCGACTCCCCACAGAGCTACCCTTTGAAAACTTGAGCAAAATTCCTAGTGATATAGCTCAAAACAGTAGAAATGCTATCATGTCCGAGACATCAAGTAGTTTGGCTCCACTTCAGCTTGAAGCACGGAGTGATTTCCGAACAAGCCGAGGACTTTCCAGCTCAGGTGGTGTTGCTGCTTCTTCCCCCGAGAGTAGTTTGGACTCTCCTGACATTCACCCACTGCGGGTGTCATCATCAGGAGTTGAAGAAGCTACACGCTTCGTGGGCCTATCATCTGGGATGACTCTTCAGAAGGACACTCCACTGTCTAGGTCGACTAGTGATGGATACGAGGCATCTGGTGGAGAGGATAGTGATCGAGTGCCTACTCGAATTGTGCAAAGGTCAACAAGGTGGAGTAGTATTCTTTTTGGCTCTGATCAACAAGATGATCGAGTGAGAAGATTGATGGTACCATCTTCATCAAGCCAGGCTAACATCAGGAAACATTGAGCCTCGAAAACATACTCGGAATTCTTGTGTAAGCTGTTGAAGTTACATGATCTGTTGACATTTCTTAATTTGTTGATGATGTTTGTCCAGTAGTATATACCTTCAACTTGGTCTGTTCCATTGGCCATTGAGTTCAATTTTTGGTTTTTGGGTGAGAGAAGTGCTGTAAATGTTTAGTGGAAAAAGATTATATCATTCTCTTGTCCTTTAATGCAGCATTCAATGATTACTTCTGGCTGCTATCATTTGGAAGCTGGAATTCTAGTTGCAATTTTTTGGTGTTCATTCAATGTTCTATGGAGAAACCACTGGGTTCTCTTGCTTGCCTCAAGTATTCTTATTTCTTTTTAAATCCCTCCCAATTTAGGAGGATCTATAGTGTTTTCACACTTCCCCTTCAGGTGACTTGAACCCAGGACCTAACGGTCGTGGGTGGAGGTGCTTTTACCTAATGGGCAAGCCTCGTCTTTTGTTGGAAAACATTATTGGGTCTGGTCCACCCATAAGGGGTGCTAGATGATCTACGGTCCAATTAGTTATTCCTGCGTGTTAAGCCTTAGAGCTAACCTATATAAATACCATTATGGGTGGTTAAGAAGCATTATTATTTTATGATAATAGAACGGCTAGGGTTTGGAGGAGTTGTGGACAGGGGATTCATTTGCTTTGTGAGTATTTCCGACAACGGTGACCTAAGTCATGGTTGTTGCAGATCCACTTCCGCTAAGAAGAAAAACCTTAAGGGGTTAAAATCAAGAAGCACACTCAAAATGTGTTGTCTTTCTATGACTAACATAAGACTCGACTTATCAGATAGTACATAGGTTAAGTGAGCACTACATTGTAATCTCTCTATCATTTTCTTCTCTTCACCTTAGCCATCTGGAAATCACCTGTTACAGTAGCTTTATATAGTATGAGTTCTTTATTTTAGATTGGAACTTTCCCAAGAAATAACTTTGTAGCCACATTAGCAGCTGTTGAGATGAATTTAGGCGCAGCCAATTCACTTCGACTATATAGTCATACCTTTTTGGGAATTTAAAACTCAATTTCCTCTATAAATCTCTGATCCAAATGGCAGAGAAATTTTCATATATGCGCTTGCAATGAGACATATGCAACGACATATTCATTGTTTTACATTGAACCATTGTCAAATTCCTAAAGAGCTTGTTAGTCTCAAGGCAGATCATCCCATATTCTCATCATACACACTTTGCAACTGGCCTTATATCATATAAATGCAAGTAAAACCACCATCTCCAATTTTACATACATTCCAATATAAGCATAAGTATTCAGAAGTAGAAGCTCTGAACTTAAATTTTTCTTCTTTTTGCTTAAACTATTAAAGCAACATGATTTCATCCGGGATCAATTCGCATGGAAGAGAAATAGCTTCAAGGACATAGTTCATTGTTACTGATTCACTAAAAGGACATACTGATGCACTAAGCTCCTGTTATGCGTGCGGCAACCTTACCCTGTATTTCTGCAAGAGGTTGTTTCCACGGCTCGGAGGCTCCCCTTCAATTGTTTCTGATTCAATGTACACTTTATTTGTTCCACAACTTCAAATCAAGTTGGATCTCACAAGTCTCAAGAGCAAGGTAACGAGACACCACTGCAGCTAAGCTGGACATAATATTCAACCTAACTTCACATTTCATACTAGGATGATACATGAGAAGTGGCAAAACTAGAAGGAAAATTCATCAGCATTAAGCTTATTACATAGAAAGATGCACATTGCCAACAAGTAGCACACATCTTCCATCATTTATCTAACAAACAAGAAACTATATACATGCTTTGACTAAAACTAAAACACTACTTCTCCAAACTACCAAATGTGGCATCCTAACAATCTCACTGACCTTAGGCACATTCAATCTTGAACAACACAAACAAGATGAGGAACCTTCTCATTATCAAAAGGCAAACACACATACTCACTCGCAAACTCCTCCGCGATCTCAAACGCTAGCTCCCCACGATATGCCTTGCAATACATATACAACACTACGTTCGCAGCAAGACTCTGAAGCATTAACAGAGTTGCAAATCCTGAACTCACTACCATTTGGAATATAACACCAAAACTTGTCCACCTACCACTTGCCTCACCTAAAGTAACCAAAAAACTCGAACAACCAACCACCAATAAGCTTATTAAAACCCCAAAAAACAACACGATTGATAAAGCAACCAATTTCATCCCCTTAACCAAATAACCACTTCTTTTTAAAGGTTCATAACCCCATTTAGATTCAACTACAACAATCACATAAGCTAATGACCAATTAACCTGCAGCCAAATCAAGACCAATACAAGCACTAAACCGAAACAAATAACCAAGCCCATGAAGTAATATGAATCATAGCCCATTTCTAGTCCAAGAAACTCCAACCCCTTAACCACAAACACCAAGAAAAATGCAAAAAAGATGGTAATAAACCCAACAATAGCATTTGAAATGAAAAGGGTCGAAATAATAGGAAAAAAAGAAAATAAAACTGATTTAATTGATGAAACAAGCTTAACGGGTCTACCATAAAACCCATGAAAAGTGCTGTAGGTGATTGTAGCAATAGCTAAAACTGAAAGAAGAACAGCAAAGATAGTGAATACAAGGGGAATAAGAATCCGGGTCGGGTTATCTGGGAAAGCTGAAAGGTGGGTGTTTTCGGGCGGGAAGATGGTGAAACCGGATTGAAAGAGAGAAGTTTGAAGAGTAGGGTAGGTGATGAGGGAGAAAGAGAGAGGCAAAAGGAAGAGAACTGAAAGAGCTAAGAAATGGCGAGAGTGAACATTGATTATGCGCTTTGATTCGGAGAGTACGCCCCATAAGTTGAGGGTATTATGTGTATTTGCAGACATTGGAAAATATGAGGATGAAGAAGATGAAGAATCCAGAAGAAAGAGTGAGAGAGTAGATTTAGAAAGGACTTGTGTGTGATTCTAAAATTGGAAATCCTTTGGTTGACCGCATTGGTTGGGAATAATTTTGATGTAGTAGTATTAAATTTTCATTATTTTAGTTACATTAATTAATTAATTTTGTGGTTCTAATTAATTCTGATTATTTAATTCCTACTCGACATAAAAATAACATTACACGTACGTAGTAGATAAATGACTAGTAATCCGTCCATAAGGTGCAGTACTATCATAAGCTGGAAAAAATGATGTATTATCATAAGGTGTTCTACTAAACACTTACTTTACTAAAAAATATATTTAGCCAGAATTGACAATTAGTCCTGACGAATCTTCAGAATTTGACATTAAATCTTGATGGATCATCATATTTGTTGTGTAAAAGTTAAACCAAACACGTTTTTATTTTAAAATAATTTGGTCCAAATCAACTTCAAGTGACTCCAAATTTGATATTCAACTTCCTAATATCAATCTCAATATTTTTCAATAGTTAAATTCAATTCAAATCTTAAAAATCAATTGACCCGCTTTGTTTTATTCAATATTTTTTTTTCAAGCTCAAATAAATCCATTATTGGTGTTGTTCAATTTTCTTCAACCAAACTGATCCAAATCTTTAGAAATAGATAACATGGGCTCAATGAAATATTACCTACTCAAATTCAACCACAAACAAAATAAATAGGTCTTTAATTTTCAACAACACATATTGATATTTCATTCTTTTTCAATTTTAGTTGTGTACTCATAATTTATTGCGAGAACAAAAAGGAAAAGGAGGAGAAGAAACAAGAAAAAGAAGAGGAAGAAGGAGAAAGAAGAAAGAGAAGTTCTGGCAAGTATTTATATTTTGTTATAAATAGAATTTTATTTATGGTGAATGTCTATATTTAGGGAGATTCTAGGGTTTATTACTTGGTGGCTAAGTCACCATCTCCCTATAAATAAAGGGTTCTATTCCATTGTAATTCATCCCAAATCAATAAGAATTCTCTCTCTCTACTTTTCTCTACAATACTATTCTTCTTCTTTTATTGTTTCATAACACTTTATCAGCATGAGACTCTAACCAATTGAGTAGAAGCTTTGGGATTGAGCATAATGATTGTCAATTATTCCATGAACTTCCTTCATGATTAAATTCTGGATTTAAGGTAAGTATTTTACCGTATTTTTCTCTTTTATTCTATAATTTGATTTTAAATACAAAGACAATAAATTTTGATAACAACTCTAATGGAGTTTGTAAGAAATTATAACCACCTGAAGTGGTAAAAGTTTCTATGTCTTGCAATGATCAAATTCATGTATGATTATGGGCACAAAAAGTGGAAACCCGTCCCATTGAATTTGCTCCATTCTCATTCCCTTAAGAGAATGTGATAGCAGTATGTGATAAGTCTGAAAGAAGACAAAATTATCACTATGAATGTATCAATGGATGTGGACGTGGCAATAGACGAAATTATAATCGTCATCATTGTGATAATGAGAATAATAAGGATTCTCAAAATAATCCCCCACTTTGTGAAAATATTTGTCATCGATTTGACATGAGATTTTATAAAGCACATATAGATGATTATGGTCAATTCATGATGTGAATGTGACAACATCTGATTTATGAATACATATTCATTCTTCAAAGAATATGAACGTGCTAGTGGTAGTGAATATACCGCACTCACCTCTAAAAGGAGGTCTGAGATGATATAAGAAAATAACGTCATTATTATGGCATGAATGGTCATTGGTCACGTACCTATTGTACGCCAAAATATTTTGGCATTGTGATTATTAAAAGACAGCGATAATGCAAGAAACAGAACTTGCGTATAATTTTGACCATAACCATAATGGTATAACTTTCTCTTTAAAAGAGATATTCACCATATTGATGTTGATGAATATGTGGTAGTACAAAATTAATTGAGAGCTCAAGAAGAGCCAATTATTACTATTTTGGAGAAACACAATTGATTACCAATAAGGTATTGTGTTGTAGTAAGTCTCAAAGAAACTTATTTAGTTTCCAAAGTATACGCGAAAGCGGTTGATTATATTGAGACTATAAATCAAGGAAAGATTTAATATCTTCTATTACTACAACTTGTAGCTGGGTAATATGTATGTGAAAAGCTACCCGCTTTATTCTCCAATTTGTACTACATAAACAAAAGAATACCACAATAAAGTGGTTGTTTATTGATATAAAAACTCATATCATAATAAACTTGGAGTTTATTGATAATTGCACACGTTATGGTGTAAACCTGAACTTTATCAATATTGATAATGTATCCAGTTGGCATAATCAGTTAAGCCATATCAATTTAAGCATGATGTGCAAAAATAAAAGAGAATTCACATGGGTAAATATTAAAGAACTAGAAAGTTCTTTATTAATTCTCTTATATTGTCTGTTCTCATTAATTAATATACCAACTAAAATTGGGATTGAATCCCATGAATTCTGGAAATATCAAAGGTGAATATAGGCCCATTCACCTGCCATGTATAACCACATAAGATGCATCTATGAGATGGTTACATGTGCGATTATTATTAACCCGCAACATGGTGTTTGCGAGGTAACTTGCTCAATAATTTGATTTAGAGCATAGTTTCCAGATTTTCTATTCAAGAAGTTCATCTTGATAAGTTGGTTTACATCATAGTTGGCTTAGCAAAATGATTTATTAAGTGCCTCCACTTAATAGCTAAACTATTGCTTATGAGAACAAAGTTATCTATATCAGTTTGATATACGTCATATACGAAAGTATATTATTTTCTCCCCTCGCAAGTGGTTCAAGGTCAGGAACCAAATAATTCCATCTTATTATAATTGATGTGCGGTGTATATTTTGATTAACACCATAATGCACAAAGGTGGATTCTCAAAGTTGAGGAAACAAGTAAGTTTTTCTAACATGAGGGGGAGACATGATAAACAGTTGAGAAAAAGTTACGTGGAATGAATTATCATTTGTACATCTAGATCCTCGAATAAGATAATATGAACTTGAAGTTCATAAAAGGATAATTCATGTGCAATTTATTGCAAAGCATGCCAGACGCATTTGCTGACCCAAAGAAAGTAACTATATTCTCATTGCAAATGCTCCTATTAAGTCCTAGAAGGACAAAGTCTATGGTACGCTTAAAGCGTATAGACAAATCGGTTTCAAATAAACTTCTTGATAAAGAAGATGAGCAAATGATCAAAATGATTATAATAAAGGAGGCAAGTGATCTAGAAGATCACAGGACATAACACTTCATAAAATCTCATGAGAGATTCAGGTACCTGAATATATGAATGAAGAGATCTCTATGTTATGTCTTTATGAAAAATAAGGAGGTTGGAACCGATATAAAATGTTTGTCAACGACATCTATAATAGCGCTAAATATATATGAGGATCTTAAGTCTGGAGAAACAATTCAAGTAGAATTTGGTTTCATATGAAAGACATGTAGTTTTGGACCTGCAGTTCAAACACTTGAAAGTATAAAGTCAATGGTATGTGCAATCAGTTTTCGATATCTTATATGTCTAGCATGACATAAAAACTTGATATGCATCTAAAGTCTATTATATGGCTTATATGACTTAACAATCCATGAAGGATTTAAGTTGCTTGAAGCATATACAATTCTTGATCTTGAAGTACCACTTCCTCAGTGCAATTTGTGCACAAATGTATCTTGCTATAACTATATGCATGATAATATGATAGCAAGAGTTTTCACCTCTATGTGAAGATATTGAACTGATGATTCCAACAAGATCATATGAAGATAATTCATCTCTATCAAGAATGATGATTTCAAGGTGCAATATATTCATTCAAGTTAATATGACTGATTTGTTTATCAAATCTCTACCAAAGATCTTTTGAAGATGGTGCACAAGATTGGAATGCAAATGCTCAAGGATGTGAATTGATGTTGTCATCAGGGGGAGTTAATACGCGTTGTACTCTTTTTCCCTTACAAGGTTTTGTCCCACCGGGTTTTCCTTGCAAGGTTTTCAACGAGGCAACCAAAAGGCGTATTGTTAGATATGTATACTCTTTTTCCTTCTCTAGAATTTTTTTTCCCATTGGGTTTTATTTTAGTTAAGGTTTTAACGAGGCACGTTATCTGTTGAATAGACATTCAAAGGGGAGTGTTATAAATAGAATTTTATTTATGGTGAATGTCTATATTTAGGGAGATTCTAGGGTTTATTACTTGGTGGCTAAGTCACCCTCTCCCTATAAATAGAGGGTTCTATTCCATTGTAATTCATCCCAAATCAATAAGAATTCTCTCTCTACTTTTCTCTACAATACTATTCTTCTTCTTTTATTGTTTCATAACATATTTGCATTACTTAATTTATATGGACGAATGTTAAACATCAGTCCACAAAAGGGACACCTAGTTAAAATTCTCGGCACATATACTTTGGGGAGGTTGTATTACCCTCGAACTTTTTCAAAGTGGAATAACTATCTATGGGAGAGTTACAGCTAATATTTGTGTTTGAGACTTTGAGTGCTAAAATACACACACCTAACACGTCTATTTTATCATTTAATCTTTTCTTTTTATTATTTTCTCCCAATTCTTTACTTCTTTTTCTACCTCAACCACCACTCCAAGCCTTCGGAGAAATAATAGGCCTACTTTGAAACCACTCTTTTGATTTATTCATTGGATTTGAATATTTTGACTTTTTTGTTGTCAATATTAACTATGGCTTTCTAGAAAATAGAACCTTTTGCTATCGGCATGGAGTTCTTGCAAAGTTATTTTCATGAGGATAGTAATCCACTTTGACCGATAGCAAATCTTGAACAGTTTAGGGCGTGGATGCGTGGTTGTTACAATGGTTAAGGGATTGTCTAGTTTGTGAAATAAAATGTAGGACTTCATATGGTTTGATTATAGTTAAACTTGAGATGGATAGTGTTTGCTTAATGCTTTTATATTAATAAAAGATGTTAATTCTTGTATACGGTCAAAATCAGGTGTGCTCGATTTTGTAGGCTCGAGGGGTCGCGTCGA